GTGTTCCAAGTACCCAAAATTTAGAAACATTCATCTAAGCAGCCACCCCAGAAAAAAAAAACGCAAAGAAAAATACGCAGCTGCCGCATTGAAAATTCTGTTTCAAGCGGCCAAACGTTTTGCATTCTCCAACTACCAAAAAGTCAACAGAGAAAGCGACAAAACCTCGAAAAATCACGGCCGAACCAAAAGCCGTCAGAGGCTAAGAGACGCCACCAAAAACATGACGAGATTAGAAGGCCAGGGATATTTGGGTAGCTGGTAGAAAAAAAAACAGTGAGCCGCGAGTGGAGAGAATTAAAAGCGACAGCGGCCACGACGATTGTGGTGCTGGTGGTCGCGACTCGCGACTCGCGACTCGCGAGGCATGCCCCAAGTCCCTGCCGCTTGCCAACCAACTCGATTAGCATTTGGCAAGAGCCAGAGATTTTTTGTGACCACACCAGGGCCACCCTGCGCCTGCCCTTGCCAGCCTGGAAATTATTAAATTTCAGACACATATCCCCCTGGGGACGGCACTCACAGGGAGGGAGAGAGGGACGTCTGGCTTTGAACAAATGAAAATTGAATTTTTCCCATTTTCTAGCTCAAATTTCACAGCCAGAAAACGAGTTGATTAAACGCAATCAATTCTAATAAAAAATAGTAGACATTTATTTATAATATTGCATAATTTTATTAACGGAGATGATGGAAATTTAACCACCAAATGTTTGGCTCACTTATCAATTAAAATTTTCAAATTGCATTAATTGTTGCCCCAGCCAGGGGCGGGCGGAGGATCGCGTTTTTTATTCATTCCGAATTGCCTTGACATGCGACTAAGCGTTATATTTCATTCAATTAACAGAACAGAGCACAAAAATGACAACTGGGTGTTCGCATTCCCCCCCCCCCCCCACTCGTACAAAATATTTAGGTTTATTAATAATAATGCAATTACGCATAAACATGTTTTAATTTATTTCAATTAAGCGTTAATTAAAACTCTGTTTGTTGTTTTTCTGTGCTCTGTTTAATGTGCGCGTGGAAGCGAAATGCAAAGCAGTTGACACTGTAAAGTGGAAGTGTAAATGGGTGCAAATGAATAGCGAGGGTGGATTCAAGCGTTCAGAGCATTATTATAGCGGGAATGACATAAGGGAACATCTTGACTTTGCTTTCCCTGGATCCTTTTACCCACTTTAGGACACCGTTTTTTAACCACAACTAAATTCTCATTCCAACCATTTCTCCTTGCAGCAGTTGCGGCTTTCGTCCGGTGCTGAGTGAACAGAGCGCTGTGGCAGCAGCGGCTGCTGCGGCGGCGGCACAGCGTGGCGCGAACCACCATCCACCGCTCTTCCTGCCGCCCCATCTGGCGGCGCAGTTCTCCCATCAGCCGCTCTTCCCGGGCCTCAAAGGTAAGTCGTTGCGTTCATCGCTCAAAAGTCAATCAGAAAGGCGCAACATAATCGAATAATCAGATTGGAGGCAGCTGCTCGTTCGGCAAAAGATAAATCAAAGTCAAATCTTGCATCGTTTTCAGGTTGCTCGCCCTTCCAGAGCCTGTGCTCCTGCTGCTCCCTGAAGCCGCCACCGCTGCCGCCCTCCTCCTCCGCGGGCGTGGCACCGTCGATGAGTGTCCCCGTGAGCAGCAGCTCGGCGGCCAGCTCCCCGGAGTCGCCCAAGTCCAGCCAGGGCTCGGGCGGACACGATCCACGCTCCAACTCTGTGGCCGAGCTGCGTCGCAAGGCGCAGGAGCACTCGGCGGCACTGCTGCAGTCGTTGCATGCCGCCGCAGCTGCGGGTCTGGCCTTTCCGGGCCTCCATTTGCCGCCACTCTCGTTTGCCCATCACCCGGCCCTGGGGCAGCATTCGCACTCCCACTCGCACTCGCACTCTCACTCTGTGAATCACAATAACAACAATACGTTGAGGATGAAGCACGAGGCGCAGGACATGACGATGAATGGCATGGTGGCAGCTGGAGGTGGGCAAGGACAAGCCCTTAGCTCCTCAGCGGCACTCTTGGATCTGGCCGAATCGGCAGTGGCATATCAACAGCATCAACAGCAGCAGCAGCAGCAGCAGCAACACCAACAACAACAACAACAGCAACATGCCACGCTGTCGCCTCCAACCACGCCCACACAGCAGCAGCAGGCGGCAGTGGAGGCTGCCGCAGGATCGGGTGCAAGTGCTTCGAATGGAAATTCAGTGAATGCCAAGAGTGAATAGAGAATTTTTGTGCAATGGAAATTATAGAAATCTAAAGTTTAAATGTTAATCTAAGCATTAGTTTTTAACTCTAAGTTAAAGTAAACAAAACACAAAAAAAAAAAGAAAATCCCAGAAAAAATATAAACATGCAACAAATAATAAAAGCACTTTGAAAAATACTTATAAAAACGATTAAAAGATACTTAGTTAGAGTATAGTTAATGCTGACAGAAAAAATAGAAAGAGAGAGACAGATAAAGAGAGAGAGAGAGAGAGAGAGAAATCTACTCAGATAACCCCCTGAACTGAGCAGCAGGCGGCATTCAAATGATTAACAAAAAATATCAATTAACAAGCATATGCATATGGAAAAAAATATATAAAATACAATAAACATACAGTAAATATATACCACAATATATATACATTATAGATATATTAAACAAACACAAAAATCAGACACTAACTTACGATAAGCCAAGGCAATATTCATTGAAGTTTAACGAGTTAAAACCTAAAGAAAAAGCGCAATAAAGATGATCATATTAGGATACAAAGTCTTTCCAATTTATTCACATTAAAACTAGCGAAAAGGGGGCTTAATTATGGTTTAAATCTTGCACGTCTGTTCACATATTTTCTTGCTGTCGAACAAATTGTTATTGCCGTGGCAGCCACTGTAGCTGAACTGCAGGCACTCGTTGTTGTCCCGGCGATAGGTCCACTTTTGCTGCTGCGACTTGCAGTTGCCCAATTTGCCAAACTCCTCGCCACACACAGCTATCAAATGAGCATCAAATTAGTAATACAATCAGTCGAATTTGAAGTTTTATTCTCCATAACTTACGCGACTTGAGTGCGGCCAAAGCACTTGCCAGCAGGCAGCTGAGCAGCAGCAAAACAGCGAAATATTTCATATTGATTCCAAAAACTGAACACTGCAGATCTCTGAGGCACTGACGACAACCAACTGTTCGTGGAAGGCAGTGTCTGTTGGCGTTTTATAGACTCAAACCGGTTCTCTTATCAGTTGGCCCGGCGGGTCACTCTGCCTCACATTTCGCGATGTGTGTTCGCGCGGTAAACAAAAACAACAAACCTTGAAACCCATGGTGAAATTTATTAACAAAACACAAACAAGCGCTGTGCTCTTCAGGGTTCGATATTAAGTGGAATTTTGAGTATATTTTGTTAGTCCTTGCAGGCCTTTTCGCATTTCCCTTGTGTGGAGAACTGATTTGCATTGCCGCCGCAGCCGCCATAGATAAACTCGGTGCAGATATTCTTGTCGGCATCATAGGTCCAGGCCGGCATAAAGGCCATACAGGCAGCCGAATCCTGATCCATCCCAGACATCGAATGGGGCTGAGTGCACATCTCTATGAACAAATAAATCTCAGATATTATGCGGGCATAAAGTACAGCGGAAAGTCTTACCAGGCTTGGCATGCACGAAGATGCCACCACCGCTGGATAGGCTGCCGATGAGCAAACCAATTACTGCAACTCCAAGATACTTCATTCTAAGTGCAACACCAAGTCAGGTCTGAGCTGCTGCAACAGGCCACATCATCTCTTTATAGGGAATAGAATGGTTCTTATCTCAGCGAGCTTAGTGGACGCTGACGAAATACACTTAGAAAGTTGGCAGATAGCCAGGGAAATAGCTCATCCATGTACCTACGTATTTATGAGTAAAGATTCGAACCGAAGCAAAGATTATGCAATGAGAAGTGAGTACATAGAATCCGTATAAATGATTGTGGCCCTATGACTGTCAAACTGCCAGAACTTTCACAGAGAAATTGCATCGAAATATTGTACGATTTGAGCACAGATAATGGGTATAATATTAGCATTAAAATCTTTGAAATTTATTCACATAACAGCAAAACGATTCACGCTTAAACTACACAAGTTTGTTCACACTTTAGCTTGTCATCAAAGAGATTGGCATTGCCGTGGCAGCCACTGTACAGGAATTCGGTGCATTCGTTTTTATCCTCGCGATAAGTCCACTTCGGTAGCGATGCCCTGCAATCGCCCTTCTTGGCCACCTCCTCGCCACAAATAGCTGTAAAACGAATCAAATTAGCACCAAAGAATCTGAATCTATATCCTCCATAACTTACGCGACTTGAGTGTGGCCAAAGCGCTTGCCATGAGGCAGCACAGCAGCAGCAGAACAGCAAAATATTTCATATTTATTAATTTCCGAATTGCAATCTCAAGACTGCAGATCTCTGATGTGCGAACGAAAGACAACTGTGCATTGGAGGCAGCGTCTGTCGCCGTTTTATAGGCCCAAATCCGAAACCAAACCGGATTGCTTATAAGGATCGCAGAGCGATAAGAGCCTCTGCGATTATTGTGCAATGAAACAATGAAATAAACAGTGAACTTTATTGCGACACAAGCTTCACTTTCACAGTTTGATTTTTGATTCAATTTTGACGGGGAAAGAAGACATTTTTCTAATAAAACTTTAAGAAAATTCTGTGATTTCTGGCTACTAGTTTTATACTGCTTCAAAGCTCTCTTTGACAAGTTTATGTGCACCAAAATATTCTAGATTTCAAAGCGGAACTGAAACGTTCTGGGCAAATGTTTGGCGGCACAAACCGGAACACTTATCAGTCACTGCGATTAGCGGGCATTGTTTTGGCTTTGGCTCCATAAAAAACTGGAACCTTGTTGCGGTATTCAAAATATACCTACATATATATTTCAATTCAGACAATAGGTACCTAGAATTATACCTAGAATATTTGAGAGTACTTTGCATGAATATTAAAGATTTTCGTTCTGTTTTGTAAATCCCTAACATTTATTCCAAACACTTTGCCTCACACTCCGCCTTGGAATCGAAACGATTGGCATTGCCACCACATCCTCCATAGATGAACTTTATGCATTCATTTGCCGCAGAATCAAAAGACCAGCTGGGAATGAATGTCTCACAGGAGATGCGTCCGTCTCCATTGCGGGAATGCTCAAGGCCACAGATCTCTGTGGAAATCAAAGATTGGGAGTTCAGTGTAAGTTTCAGATTTGTTCTCAAGATCACTGACCATTTTTCAGAGCCAAAGAACTGGCTACGAGGACCGCAAGCACAGCAAGCAGCAGCAGGAACTTCATGATGGGATGGAATCTTTGAGAGAGCTTCACGTTCAGAGAGCCAAAAGACAGAACTGAAACTCGGTGTCGTAGAGGCGAATAATTTATACACAAATTCTGTTGCTTATCGCAACGCTTAGACGAGCAAACTGCTCAACAAAAATAAAATAAAATAACATTGATGGGAAATCTCCACGAAATGTGTAATGTTTTGTGTAAATATTTGTGTTGCGGTGTTGCGCCCTAATGGATGTTTGTTTGCGATCATCAGCTTGATATTTCGCATTGAATTTTCGTTACCGAGAACTCACTTTGTTTACCGCTCGCCACAAACAAGGGGAAAGCCCCATGCCAGACGTAATACTCGTACCCATGATAATTGTCTGATTATAATTAACAATTGTTTAAGCCAGACACAACAAAAGGTTGGGAAACTTACAAGTAAATTGCGAAGAGATTGGGTCTTCAATTTGTTACAGAATCGATGACAAATTAAAGCATTTACACACATTTAAACGGTATTAGTGAGTCATCAATTGCTCAAGTTTGCTTCACACTTACAGGCCCAAGAGACTGCGCTTTCTGAGGCAACTTATGCTGAGCTCGTTCAATTGTTCCCATAAGAATTCTAGAGATAAAGAGCAACGGCAACACTACTTCATGTTACAATGGAAACTCATTTATTTTGCACTTTAATTCACTGCAAATTTATTCCAAACACTTTGCTTCACATTCAGCCTGAGAGTTGAAACGATTATCGTTGCCACCACATCCCCCATAGATGAACGACACGCAAGTACTTCCATCGTAGGACCAGCTGGGAAAGTAAGCCAGACAGGCCCTGACTCCATCGCCAATTTGGGAACTTGGAAGTCCACAAATTTCTGTCAAAATCAAAGGATATATGTGCTTTAGTTATGATAAATAGTTAATAATCTCAAGAGAGGACAGACCGTTCTTCAGGCCCAAGGAGCTAGCCACAAGGGCAGCGAGCACAACCAGCAGCAGCATGAACTTCATTTGAATGCGATTTTTCGAGAACTTTCAGCCAACAGAGAGAAATGTAAACTGAGCTAAGCCTGGGGAACAGTTGTACAATTTATACAAAATTACAATGGTGTAACGTCACCTTATTACCCAACCAGAGCAAATCACATTATACTCAGATTCTGACACTGTATGTATTATTGGACTCATGATCACTTCAGGCTTTGTTCTAATCAGCCATAGAAGGGTTGGATTCATGAACGCTACAAGGCGTCACTACTCGAAGCTTTATAGAATCGATTTGTCTTGGCAGAAGAGAGCCCGTGCATGTCTATTAGTAGAGAGCTTGCGATGGAAAGAGACAGACAACTTAATTCCGTTCGAACGGAACGGTTCCTAAAGAAGCGAGCGCAAGCAGATTCATGCATCTGCATAGGATTCTCTTTTCTCTTCCCATGCAAAGTTTATCTCTGTTCACCGCACATATTTATCGCATACAGATGTACATACATACATCCATATGCTTATGCGCATCAGCAGCCGTTCTTTCGTCTATCTTTCCCGCCTTCTTCGTACCGGCACTTTGCGCTCTAGCTATCGTTCTGTCTCAGCGCAGCAGCAGCTCCAAAGCTCTCTTTCTTTCGCTCTCTCTCGCGCCGTTTAGAAATTCTGCATAGGGCACGGGCACTTGTGACAGTCGGGCCTGCAGGTAGTCATTCGCCATTAACGGTAAATACCAACAGGTTCGACCCTTTTATTCAACAGATAGTGAAGATGCTTAAACATATTTTTCTAAAAGAACATCGAATGGGGTTGCCTGTTCATTAATCACCATTAAAATTGTACTTCAATAAAACACTTTATTCCATTAATCATAAAACATATAAGAGTCATAAAGCAATATTTATTCCTTGCACTTCTCCTCACACTCCGCTTGGGTAACAAACCTATTGGCATTGCCACCGCAACCGCCAAAGACGAACTCCGTGCACTCATTGCTGTCGGCTTGGTAGGTCCAGGAAGGCTTGAACACAGCGCACTTGATCAGACCATTTCCATCGACTCCCGCCTCAAGTCCGCAGTCGGCTAAAGAGGAGAATATTAACACGAATTTCGAGTCTCTTAAAATCGCTTCAGACAGACTTACGATCCTTCAGAGCAAGGGTAAGGCCCAGCAGGGCAAACATAAGTGCGAAAATAGCAAGGAACTTCATGATTGATTTGATTCTGTGACAAAACTCTTCCAGCTGCTGTGGAACGACAACGACTAATGCCCATCGAAGGTCTAACACCGAGCTATATACGATTCCCCAGACGGGAACCAGGCTGCTTATCGATGTGCTCGTGAACCGCGAGGGTCATTAACAGACGCTTGTTAAATTATTAAATAAATTTACATAGTTTTTCTGTGTGTATTGTGGGTATATTTGTGTGTGGGGGTATGGGCGATGGGAAGTGACTTAATTGCTTGGTCGGCAGGCCATAAATAAATCTATATACTAAGTAAGTGTGTGCAAAACAAACAATAGTTTAGGCACTGCTGCTGATGCTGCTCTCCGTAGTCACTTCACTGTCGCTGCTCTGTTCAGTGGTCACAGAGATGCTTTCGGTGACTGCCGCACGGCCGAGGCAGGCCTGCTCGCAGAGATCCTTGCTCTCAAAGTTGTTCCTATTGCCGGCACATCCTCCGTAGACAAACTCCTCGCAGGCCTGGGTATCCACATTGTAGGCATACCGATAGAACAGAGCAAAGCAGCGTCCCGTCTCCTTCGGCTGATGACAGTCCTCGGGCACGTCCACGGGCTTCTCTCCCGACACAGAGTCCTGCTTCTCCACGACCACATCGGAGGGCGGCGCTGCGAGGATGTTCGCCAGCAGCAGGGCACTGGCGATGATCAGAATGAAGCTGTATCTGTAGCACATTTCGGTTGCGTTGGGCGAGTGACTGTGAATGACAACAGCAGTGTGGCGTAACGAGGCTTAAATACCCCCGACACACAGTGCGTCACCAGAGCGGCCAACCCACCTGCTCACGTACTCCATAGGCGTCTGTCGTCTGTCTGTCCATAGTTATTTCTCTTTTTGTGTGCTTTTTTGGAGTACGAGTATTTGCCCAACTGATTCGTCGCCGCATGTAAATCGCGGCTCAGATGTCGCTCAGAGACGTCTCCGTCTCGTTCCGAGAAGCTTTTGCAGTGTCCAACCTTCGCTGCAGTTCAATGCTCCAGCCAACATATTAATAATGGCCCGGCTTTTGATATGCTAAGTATATAAAATCAGAGGAGTAGTTTCCGCACCGCTTGGATTTGCTACGATAGCTGCGATAGTCACGTAATTATCTGGTAATTATCAGGTGCTATCACGTCCCACTAAGTGATTGATCAACTACGCAAACAAATTTTGAGTTTATTTGTTATTCAATTAGGAACAGTGATTGGGTTTCGGGGAAAGAATGTGAGTTCTTATAAATAAAGTTAGATTCCTCTGTAAATTTCCTTATAAATTCCATAACTCATCTATATATTGAGAACAATTTCAGATACACATAATCTAAGAAATTTCGTAACAAAAAACTCTACATTTGTTCCTGTAGGTTTACGATATTTATTGGACCATTCTTAAGTCACTTTCTGATGAGGCAAGCATCCTCGCAGGTCTGACGGAAGCCAAAGCGATTGTCATTGCCTCGACAGCCCCCAAACTTGAAGGTCTCGCAGGCATTTGTGTCCTTGTTGTAATAAAAGCGATCAAGGCTCATGCGACAGGGACCTGGATCCAAGGGCTGCTGGCACTTGGGATCTATTGTGAAAGAAGGGAAAATTAGCTCTTAAGAGGAGCACCATAGACACTCAAACGCACCTGGCTGTTGTCGCTGTGGCTGGGGTTTCGCTGTACTCGGACTGGGTGGCAGATTTCCTGCTGGTTTTGGCTGTACTTGGGCCACTATGCCCGGCTTGGCTGTGGATGTGGGCACCGCCTGTGTCTGCTGCAACAGGCTGAACAAAAGAAACAAAAGAAGTGTCGCCCCAAAGCACAGAAACTGGGTCATCCGCATGATTTTGCCTTGTCTGTGCCACTGATAACTGATCGCAAATAGCTGCAAATGTGAACTGAACTGAACTGAACGAAATGTTCTATATGCTGAGTCTGAGCCGAGTTCAGTAGATCGGTGATTACAACTGTAGAGGTGTACATCTCTCTCTCTTTATCTCTCTCATATTTGCTGTGTGCCAAGCTAAGCGAAGCGTTTAACTCAAATTGAGCGTAAACAACGTTGAGCGCCAGAAAGATTAATTAGCTAATTTATATAAATAGAGAGAGATGTGCAAGTCCAAGTGATGTTTACGGTTGAAACAGAGAGAAAATAAACAAGTATTGGGATCGCTCCTCGAACCCTCTCCTTCCTCGACTAATTGCCTTTTAAATCACTTAAAACTGATGTTTCATTCATCACTGAGAACGCCTGGTACTAATCAGAAATTGTTTTAATAAAAAAGAATATTTGTAGGTTCTGGCAAAAGGAAGCCTGAAAATGTTTATTTATTGAGCTTTAAGTTCTTTCTGCTCTGTAAAGAATTTTCAATAATATTTCTGTATAATTCCCATAGCCTTTAATAGCTTCAAAACAAGTGCTTCTTGTTTGTTTTCCTTTAACTTTACCAAGAATATCATTACAAACAGCTCAACTCTTTCCCCGAATCGTTCAAGGTTGATCGCATTATGGAGACAGGGAATAACGATCAATAGAGGTGTCGTTTATTTGCCAATTAAATATTCTCAACACAGCAGCCGATTGACAAATGAATAACCAATTAGCACCTGGCAGAGAAAGGAGCTAACTTAGATGCTTGGACACGTAGTACTTGGGTTTCCCTGCCAGGTTTGATTCTGGCTAATGTGTCATGTAATGTGTGGGGATAATGGCCCATGAACCATTACCATTAACATTAACTGCAACAATTTGCATAACAAATTGCAAGTGAAGGGACTCGTTGGGCATGCCAAATGCTGCCTGAGCCAAATATTCTGTGTATTGCACTCTGAGCGGCTCATTAAAATTGCATTGCCAATTGTCTGTGCAGAAGATGCGAGCACCATGACAGGGCTTAGGGCCACAGTCATAATTAGAGTCATATTAGGGCCGAGACAAGATGGTCAACACAGCACAAATTCGTACAACAAAAACGTTAGCAGGTGTTAATACATGGCGCAAATTCAATTATCGCTCAGTGATGAGGCATGTCCCCCGCCCTCCTGCTGTCTAATGATGATGCCGATGGGGTGTTATCCGTATCCGTCGTAGGAGGAAGAGTACTATTTATTCATTAGCTCTATCAAAGCACAGGGACAGAGTGGACAGTGAGGGGCCAGCGATGGTATGGCCAAAATGTGACGCTCATGTGTGTGTGTCTGCCTGTCTGAGGTGACAATTCAGTTAACTGTTTAATTTGCTTCAAATAATTGAAATGCTGCCCGGGCTCCCACTCTCTCTCTCTCTCTCTCTCTCTGAGCTACGTTTAATTACTAAATTAGGGACTTGGACTAGAGAAAATGCCCTATGCCGAAGCGGTATTTATGGCCTGATTCAATTAACAAAACCTTAAACCAAGCAGAGTCCCAAGAGTCGCTCGATTACCATAGCCCAGGGGGCAAACCCCAGACAAAGAGCCAGTTAAAATGAGTGAAAGAGCGGCACACTGAGAGAAACAAATAGAGTAAGCCAAAGAGAGAGAGAGAGAGAGAGAGAGAGAGAGAGAGAGGAAAGCATGGACTGCCAATTCTTATTCCTCTCTGAGGCGCAGCTCAATGTTGAAACCGAAACTCAAATTGAAATCTCGTTTTCTCGCTCGCATGCACTTATGTATGTATTATGTACAGATATGTATGTATTATGTACACTTGTTATTTTGTATTGAGCGATTCGAAGTGTTGTTGCCATTGATATGCGGAACATGTTTTTGTTGCCATTTGCCGTCAAGTCTTTTTTTACGTCATCTCTCTGTGCGAGTGCGGTGTTTATTATGAGAGCGATTGTAGGGTACATTCGCTGGGCAGGGCATTTGAAGTCTATAGGAAGCTGATCGCTTTGAAGATTGAAGATGAGAGAGAGAGAATAACTCACTGAGTACACTCAGAGAGGCAGCGATCAGAATGATTAATATTTAACACGTGCAAATAAAAAAATAAAACAAAATATGCAAAACATTTAGAAGATTATCTAGCGAATGATAACAATTAAAGTATTGAAATATTACTCATATTAACATTAAAAGAACTCGATCTACTTAATTGAATGAACCTGTTCCAAAGCTGAATAATTATTCCCGGAATGTTGGAACAACCTCCAAGTGCTAACCCTCGTACCGCCGCCGTGTAGGTAGCGCCTTTGTTGGCATTGCCGAACCTTGGCTATTAACTTGGTCAATGTTGAATCTTGGCAAAAACAAAGCATACAAGACATTCATTTGAACGCATTTGTAAACACACAAATCTGAGGTGGAGCTCAGGCCCGGCTCAGTGAGTTGTTAGCCAAAGAACCTGACGGTTGACTGACTGCGGAGTGTCTGTGGAGTGAACTCCAAACAGATGACATGATGCATGCTCGATGGCTCCTCGTGGCTCTGGTGCTGCTGCTGATCAGGCCACTGCCAGAGATAGATGCAGCCTCCAAGCGAGGTAATCGAACCAAATTGAAAGCCACAATTGTTGCTACTAATTGTTATAAATCTATAAATACAGTGAAATTGTGCCTGCAGCCAACGGTCAGTGGCCGATGCTTTGGCTATGTGGAGAGCTTTGCCTACAATCCCCTGAAGCGGCACTGCGAGCCCTTCATCTACGGCGGATGTGGCGGCAATGACAATCGCTTCACCAGCAAGGCCGAGTGCGAATTTAGCTGCCGTGATGTGTAAATGAAACAAATAACAAAGGCAAACAGATTTTTGTTTCAGTAAAAAGATCCTTAACGTGTATTCAATTGATGGCTTCATTGCCACCAGATCGATTGCGTCTCTTCACGTGTCTGGCATTGTTGCAGATCTTCTCGCAGTCCTCGAGGCTGCCGAAGAGCCGCTTGTTGCCACAGCCCAGAAACCGGCAGTGCTGCGTCTCCACATCAAAGTAAATGCCCAGCGTGCTGGGCACACAGAGTCCATTCGTGCTGGGCTGTACCGTGCACAAATCACCTGATCAGTGGTACAAGTGGTACAAAAATTAGTTGAAATATTGAAACGGGAAAGACTTTGCTTAAAGGACTTACGGACACGTGCCTCGATGGGTTGCTCCTGAATCATGGCCAGCATCACGCACAGCCACACGGTTACCCTCAGTTGACTGTTGGCTTTCATTGTGGAAATACTTTGGTAGATTGATGTGTTTTTCATAGATCGCTGAATGAACCTGTATCCGGTTGTGAAAGTTCCTTTTTCGTTGGATTTGTCTTGATCTGCTCTTTCTCCGGGAATTTCCTTTATCTATTTGTACTGTCAGCTCTGTCTTGTTGCTGGTTGTGGTACAGTGTTACTCTCTCTGCTGGAAATGGAAACACTGCCAATTCTGTTGTTTTGAAATGCGCAGCAGCCGCTCGTCGCCATATATGAGAGACCGAACGAACGTAGTGCCTGTCGATTCAACAATTGCTTGGGACTGTAACCTCTACAATATATATGAAGATAGCTATAGCTGATGGTCGACCGATCTGTATATATTTTTGCGTTTCGTTTTCTTGATTTCTGAATGGATTTATGGGTTTTTTATACCCCAAAAGACGCCTGCAAAGTTCATCCACAGTGCAAGCACCCAAACAGTCGTAAAATTCAAAACAACAACAAAGGGATTATCGTTTCGCAGATATGGAATATTTTTGCCCTTCTCTAGGTGGCAGGCTGTCTGTCCTTTGTGGACTTTGTTTCGGGTAATTTTGGAAATTTCTATACCACACTTTTGGTCACTGACTGGCAGCTGGAGCGTCTGGCGTTTGGATTGTTGCGAACTCGACTCGAAACCTCGAACAAAAGCCACTACAAGGCGGCACACATATTTGTAATCAGGCCGCTTCTGCCGCCGTCGCAGTCGCAGTCGCAGAGCTGTCGCCGCCTGCCGCTGCTGCTGATAACTGATAAGGCCCAAAACGACATCACGGCGTAGTGTTCAGCGCTTTTTTTTTTGCATGTGATCAATAATAATGATGATGAGGATGGGAACGAGAATTGATTTTCCGGCTAAAACTGGCGAGTGCCTGTTGCAGAAGGCCGAAATCAGCGACGAGGTGCACCCGACAAAACAATACAATGAAATGGAGGGCACAATAATACAGAGATAAAGCATTGGGGATGCTCTTCTAACCATTGAGAGAAAAATACTTAACCTCATTTGGAAAACAATTATCTGTATCTGTGACTTCTCTCGTATTTCTTATAGATCTTCCCACATCATGAAACTGCCGCCAAACCGAGCAAACTCCTTTGCTTGTAGAGTACATAAGTCTGTGCCATAACGAGTCATGTTCAATGTTCAAGCGACTTGGATGAACCGTCAGCTAAATGGCAATAAATCCAAGCCACAATGCTATGATAGTGCTACAAAATAAACACAATTACCTCACGGGTCATGGGGCATACAGATCGGTAGAGAACATTCCCAGCATTAAAAGATTACGGATTAGACGCAATTTGTTCTAGCAGACGCTGGCTGCGCTGATGTATTTTATTCGACCAAAAACTCTCTGCGAATCGTGATCATTCTCATGTCAACCTTCGTTCACATACAAATCCTGATTGCGTCTCCTGCCATGGACACAGGTGGCCACGCAGTCCTGGATATCGCCAAAGCTTTGACCCGCCGTCGAGTGGCAGGCCCCAATCGAGTACATCTGGCAGTCCAAGGTGGCGGGATCGTAGTAGAAACCCTCGATCTGAATGGTGCAAATACCCACAGAACGCGGCGGTGGCTGCTTACAAATATCTGAGCAAAAATACAACAGAAATGTATGAGCAATGTGGGTCGGAAATGGTTGGACCGCAGCCTCTGCCTCTACGCTCTACTCACTCGGTATCACGGGCAGGCCTGGGGGCAAGTAACGTGCCGCTGTGGGGTGGAGGCCGCCCAACGACAGCAGCAGCAGCAGCACCAGCGATAGCCACACCAACGCAGGCTTAGTACGAGACATCTGGACAACGCGCGGGCAACTGAGTGAGTGAGTGAGTCGCGGCGCGTTGCCTCTCGTCGGCTGATTCAACCCGTCGCGAGTTCCCAGCGATAAGCAAAACTGCGGCCCTACACGAGGGCCCAGACGTGGCACTAGTACAAGCCAAAGCAGTGGCTTTAGTAAGGCAAAACATTCATTCTCATTAGTAAAAAATGCTGGACTACCCTCCCAGGAAGATGGGAGTCCCTTAACATTATCGCTCCCCCATTTGGAAACTTATATATAAATGTGTACAACTTTTAGGTGCAACTTTGGCTATCATTTGTTCTGAATCCTTTCTTGTTTCATACATTTTTCTCCACTGTTAAATGGTTTATTATGTGTCCTTCCATTCACTGAAGAAGGCTTTGCTTTAATTTAAAATGTTGCATCACTTTTTAATAAATTAATTCAAGGCAGGGATTCCAAGAGCCAGACAGAGAGATATTCTAAAGCAGCTCATGCAGATGAACGTCTTTGCGCACAGCATTGTTGAAGCCTTCCTTATAGCGATACCAAATGGGGCTCTTTACAATGGCATCGGTTTTGGCTAAAACAAAATCAAACAATTAAAAAATATAACGCAAAAAAGTGAAAAATAAAAATTTACCTTCTTCCACGGATTTTGCTGTGGATATTTTGTGCGTAATGCGACCGAAAAAGTCTTTGGTGAGCTGAAAAAAAGGAAAATTCAATAAAAACAAGCTAAAGCTAAACTGTGTGGCAATAAGAACAAATTCAGAGACATTCGAGGATTTGCAAACATAAATAAATACGCCACAAAGTCGCTTTCGTTTAAGATGGGCAATAAATGTTGGTTTGCCGTGATCCCCCACATTACGACCCCAATGACAATGCGCGCTGAATCCCCTTATGGGTTATTAGCTTTGCTGCGGCTTTGCCCCAAAAGAAGAAATTGTGAGCTTTAACATAAGCATAAAGATGAGCGCGCCTTGGCTCTTGGTTTCTTTGTGGAAAAAGGTGGAAAATTTGCAAGTAAATTGCTGCTAAGTAAATGCAAGGCATGCAAATGTCTCGATGGTGCAGCTGAATAGTTGGACGCACCTGCTGTTTGGGGGCACCGCTGCCGAAGATTGGTTTCGGTTTCAATTTTTGCAGGTGATTGGGCAAACGCGTTGTGGCCGCGGTTTTGGGTGGCTGCTTCTTTGATGGCTCCCCTTGCTTGGGCGCAGCTCGACGGATGCGTGCCAGGGACACTTCGCGGGCTAGCAACTGGCGCCCAAAGTAGGATACAGTGAGGCCAGGAAATCCTATTGAAAGCGGAACCATTTTATAAGAAAGTTTCGTGCTGATGTGTGGAATATTCACCTGGAAACACGCCGAGTGCATCTAGATCGGGCTCCGTTTGGAACACATACTGTCCTTCCAGTGACTTGACCTGCACAAATGTCAAGCCGAGATCCAGCATCACCTCAACGGTGTGATTCAAGTCTTGCTGTTCCCTGGCAAAACGAATAGCGTCAAAGCGGGTGAAGGTGCAATGGGGAAGACAACACTCACTTGGGGGACAACAGCTTCACCGTCACGGAGCGCAATTGCGGTGACAAAATCCTCTTCAGCATGGGCACGGTATCCAGCAGCAGAATCGTGCCATGACCCACACCCACAGCGGAGGGGGTGACACCTTTGCGCAAGGCCTGAAAGATGTTGCGCTGTGTGGTGCGCTTCTGTGTGAACTGCAAAGAAGGAAATGTTGGACCTTAGTGGTGGCTTGGCTTTAGCTTTGTTTACACAGTGCGAAATCTATGCAGAACTCCCATTAATCTTGTGATTGCATTTGAGGCACATAATGGACAAGAAATTACATGGCTTGATTGTGTTGATTATGCACTTTCCAATGGTCCCGGCTGGGCATGTTTGCACCAGCTAATGATGCCTGAATAATACATGAGGCCTGCCTCAAAGGGAGAGCTTTGGCATTCAGCGATGAAAAGAAATAATGTGGCTCGGGGCCAGCAAGCAGTCCATCATCATCTTTTTGCCATCTTACCTCAAAGCCACGCGTGGGAAATGCAATTTTCGGCCAGGCCAGTGTGGCAAAGAGTAAATGCCAGACGACAAAGCCGTAAGGCAAATACGGATAGATGCTGTAGTTCTGCTGGCTGGCGATCTTCTGCTGCAGTATGTCCGTAAAGCAGAACCAATTCAAGGCCTCGCAAATGCCCTTAAAATTCGGATCCGGCATCTTTTGCTGCAGATAGTTCTCGTACACGCCTTGAGTGAGTCTGTGGGCAATGATATTAGAACAGTTTTATAGAGTGTGAGTTAGGGTACCTCTCGTAATCCCCGCTGGAATGGACCACATCCATAACGTTGCGCACTCGCGTGGCAATGGACATGTTGGTCATTGTAACCAGAGCGGGCTCATCGCCATTGCCATTGATGTCGGTCTGCAGTTGCTTTCTGGGACGTTGTATCTGAAAGTATAAGCCATGAAACATCAGCTTGAAAGTGCCTCAAGTGAGATAATTACTCTGAAAATGGAATTCCACACAGTAAACAGGCCCTGATGACGATCCTTTTGCCCCAGATTGTTGTTCAGCACATCCTGTAGCGTCAGACTCTGCTTTTGGGCACTAAAATGGGTGTTCTTATGATTAATTTGTGTCTCCAAAAGGTGTACGGGTTACCCACTTGAAGAACTGCATGGAGGAAATGCAGCTGCGGACATCATTGCCCGACTTTTCAGCCAGCGTAATCAGTGATGAGAAATCTGTTTGTAATTTCTCTTTTTTCGCAATCTCTCCCAAGCTGTAAAGAGAACAACATCATCATCATCATCATCATCATTATCAATCAAAGAATATTCGGTAGCTTACCGTTCGGCGAGGCGCGCTGAATCAATGGGCGGAAATGTGACCACAAAGGCTATCTGGCGGAGTGGCCTTAAGGCTGGATCGTAGATATCATTGCAAATACAAATAATGGGTCGACGCAGGACATTGTGCTCCGATTTGGCTCCCTTGGCTTTCGCCCTGCTGTGGACATCATCGTTGACGAATTTCACCAGATATTCAATGGATTGTCGCGGAGCGCCATCGATTTCATCTGCAAGAGTAAAGTTTAATCATTGAAGGCATCGTCCCGACATTTGTACTCACCCAGAACTATGCAATTTGGACGCTTGTCTGTATTGAGAACTGAGGACATTTGTGTGCCGTTCTCCAGGGCCAATTTGAAGGCATCTGGACTGCGATCGTCTGAGGCATTGATCTCCCGCACATTGTAGCCGGCATGCCGGGCGATGGTGTGGGCCAGCGTGGTCTTGCCCAGTCCGGGGGGACCACAGAGCAGGGCCACCTTCTGCATGGGTCGGCCCATAGCATCGACATTCGTGTTCAGAGCCTGGCGAGTCTTGCGCTGCCGCCAGCCGCCATTGGACTCGAATTTTCCCGTCCGCTTGTTGAAGCTGTTCAACGTGGCATCGCCACCACCTGTGACTGCCTCCCGTTCCTGTTTGCTCTGAAAGGGTTTGCCAAAGACAACCTTGTCCCACATCTTCAGCCAATAGAGCAGACTCCTGTTGGTCATTTCATCCGACAGCAAGTCAATGTACTTCCTCGGCTTGTACTTGTCCACCCAAAGACATCCCGTCTGTGCAGTGACTGCAGTCGTGGCAGCAGCTATCGCTGGCTGTGGCTGTGTTTCGGGCGCTAAGCGACGAAGGACCTAACAGAGGAAATGGTTTTATCTTCGATCTTGCAGTGGAATCAGTCAACTTACCAGCTCGTTGGCCTCCTGCCAGACCTTGTCCTTGGCCTCGCCCAGCAGACTGCCCACAATCGCGCCCCGCGCACTGATCATGTCCAGCTGCCGCTGCTCGTACTCTTCCGAGTGGAAACGGACGTAGATGCGCTCCAGATCGCTGCGTTGTATGGGCAGAAACGGCCAGTTGGGTATCTCGTACGAGAGATTCTTTCTCTGGAAATCGAGCAGCGCCTTCAGGCGACTCACATCGTCCGTGCGAACGGTTTTGGTCGACTCTTGCTTCTTGCGACGCAGCTCCACGATCCTCTCAATGGCCTTCTTGTCGCGCTGCTCCTCGGTACGGGCTTTCTTCACCAGCGGATCTTCGTAGGTCTCATGGAAGAGGTCGTCAATGTCGCCAAAGAGATCCCGCTCCAGACGCCGCTTGTTCACACCGCGCGTGCCCAGCTCCTGCAACTGCTGGGCGGCCGCATTGAGCAGAGGCACTGCGTTTGTTTCTTTGAATCCGTTGCTGGCAGGTGGAGTGGCATCCACTTCCTGTATGGCCGGCATGCGTTGAAATGGCGTCGAGCAACCGCGTCCCACCGGCGGACCTTTGGGCGTGCCAAAGAGTCGCCTATTCACTGGGCCACCGCCGCCGCCTCCATCATCGTTCTCGCTTTGACTGGCCCCAAAGGTAATCTGCGAGAGCTGCGGCGAGCCGAGGGTGGAGTTCTCTAAGCGCGAGGCATCTTTGATTGCTTTTGTTTGCTTGGCCGCCGCTCGCCGGGAGGTGCTCGGCCCGTCGAACGCGTCGTACTCGTGCGGCACGTCCTCCAGCAACTCCAATTCATCCTGGTACTGCAGCTCAAATTCCTCGTCTTCATCTGGGTATTGGTTCATGTCTGGCGTCAAAAATCGCGATAATATTTCACAATTTACCACAACAAATGGTTCCCGCCAAAACAAACGAGCAGCTGTTGCGTGACACAGGGCTGCTTTGCCTGTCGCCTCACCTATTATGAATTTACTTTGCGCTCCCACACATTGAAACACCGCGAAAACACGTACGCAGTTTTTTTTTTGTTTACTTCTTATCAAAGTAATAAGAATTGCATATGGCGGCGGAACTGTGCAGTTATTCCCAAAGTTAATGCAAGATCGTCTATCCTTCTCCATTTCTCTAGTAGCGTAGCAGTAGATGGTGAAGGTGTATGAGGGAGAGAGATGATGACTGTGTCTGTGTGCATATGCATGCATGCGTATTCTTGGGTTCTCTTCTCTGCTTTGTGCTTCTCATTAAACATTTATTTGTTAGAGCTTTTCCCTTTCGTTTGGAGATTTAACATTGTAATATTTCAAAAGAGAACGTACATATATACTTTCTTATCTGAATAGATGGGTATCGATAATATACATGTATAAATAAGAAAAATATATATTAAAGGTTCTTCATCTTGATGGTTTAAGAAATTCGACAAAGTGTAAGTCAATGGAATCTTTCAGACAATAATTTAAGTGGTGTAGGGCATCAAACATGTCGAACCAGCAGAACAGAACAGTCAATGCAAGAAATGTGGCCTCTCTCTTTCTTGAGTGGCCACACAGTAAAGGCAGTGCTGTCAAATTATTTGAGGCTAGACTTAGCTTCTTTTAAAGTGAAAGAGATTTTACAACTTTAGATGAAATCGAGAACGCCATAGATGGTTTTGTATGCAATAAAAAAGGCTGAAAAATGTGAGTGACATCCTCAATGGTTGGGAACTCGGATCTTATTTGACCTTTGTGTGTTCGCTTATTCAGAATAACAATAGAATTACATTTATTATTTTGTTTCGCGCGCTAAGAAAACATTTTCAGTTATAAGTTAACAGGGCTCCTTCAAATGTGGCTCTGTTAATAATTTACATACTGGAACATTAAAAAATACCAAGAAGAGAGTGTTAGGTTAACATAGAAAATGGCGTTAAACTTCAAATGTTCTGCAGCTATGTTATTTCTTAGAAAGTGAATTACTTGGCCATTCTGTAATGAATATGTTATTGGTAATTAGCAAAAATGCAGTGTTCACGTAGTTACTGTGTAAGAAAAAATGGCAGTGTATTGTGCCTTTTTTGTTTAAGCTTTAAAAAACATATTCCAGTAATATTAATTATAATAAACACTATTGCAGGAAATTGATTCAGTAATCGGCTAAAATTATAAGTTCAGAGTCACAACCAGCTGGTAATGTTAAGCGGAACTTCTAAATCGCGGCAAATGTTATAGTGACTACGGTATTTTTTGTTACATTTTTAGTATATTTAGGTTTATGTTATCGATAGATCCGCGGGGTCACACTGTCCCACATATGGGAAACCAAAAATTACAAAACTAAAATTAAATTACACTAAACTTTCCCGATTGGAACAAAACGTCCAAACTAGTTTAAAGCGTAGCATGCGTTCGGTCAAAGTGCATCAAAAAGTCGCATTCGCGACAGCGCTCAAATTGCGCAAATAAGTTCGTTTTAATTATATTTGTGTCATCGTTTGTGTGCCTAGAATATACCTCATCATCTCAATCCATCAATCCCTCCCTCAACCAAGAGAAATAACCATGATGTCCGCCTAGCTGGAGGAGCAGAACAGCTGTTCGTGAGTAAAGCCAAAAAACGGTCAATTCTGCCACACTATACACATATTTCTTTTATTGCAGTTTCGCACACCCAAACACACACACACTTCGGCACTTGCCACACACCCACTAAACGAGAAGTGAAAAGATTAAGTAGAGTGGTGGCGTGGAGGAGGAAACCCTAAGAAAACCTTAGAGCATTTCGTGGATTTGTGTGGGGCAAAAGGGTGAGTGGAGGTCCCAAGTGTAACGGAATACATTTTACGTCATCCACTGATAAGGTCATTTGACAGCAAATAGCAAACCATTAGAATGCTCAATTGGCTGGCATCACATGACGGCGAGGACGATGCCATGGCCGCGCCCTCGACGTGCCCCCCGGGAACAGAGCATGTGAGCGGCAGTGGAAGTGGGAGTCGCCGAATCTTCGGCGACATAACCACGAATCGTCTGTGGACCTTTCGTGTGCTGATGCACGAGGATCTGGCGCCCAGCGAGCACCTGGCCGTGGTGGGCAACTGTGAGGCTCTGGGTAACTGGAAGCCGGCGGCTGCGGCACTTATGACGCAGGAGGATAATGTTTGGAGCGTGGAGGTTTACATACCGCGTCACTGTGCCACGGAATACCGCTATATGGTGTGTGCCGTGGAGCCGAGCAGCGAGCAGCCGCTGGTGCGACGCTGGGAGACACAGTTTCAGGTGGGAATCTGTTGATCTGAATCTGAATCTGTTTTCGTGGAATGCCTACTACAATGAAATGCTACAATGAAACAACCCATTGCAGGCCAGAGCCATCGAAGAGCTGGATGAGCAGCCGCCCAAGGAGCAGCTGGATATCTTCGGCTCTGTCAACGGCCAGGAGAAGGTCGACCGTGGCTGGCTCACCAGGGAGACAATCGTTCAGCTCAAGTTCTTCTACGCTCCGTTCACGTTCAAGCAACGCATGAAGCGACGCCATGTCCAGGTGAAGGTGACGCCCATGAATCTGCGCATACCCAGTGCTGGGTGCGAGCCGTCCTGTGGCTCTGCGGGTCCGGTGTCGCCGCCAGAGGATTCCCTCTCGAACGACACGCACGACACCAGAGATAATGGCGGGGACTCGTCCACGGCCTTTGCCTTCAGCGAGGTGGTCACCCTGAGTGCCGACGAGTGCGAGATTCGTGCCCAGGAGCAGTTTGGCACTGACTGCGGCCCCAGCGACCTGGTCATCTTCCACATAACCGTGGGAGATCTCGAGAATACGGCCTACCTGATCGATCTGTACACGTACAGCTCCCGGGTGGCCAAGGAGGACGGTCCGCCGCACCACTTGGGCTACCACTATGTGCTGCCCAATCTGTTCAAGCGTTCCGAGGGCAACCTGGAGATACCCATCACGTGTGCCAAGGGCCACCGGCCGTTGGGCATGATGCGGCTGGGCTACCTTATCGTGCGACCCTCCGCCCTGAGCGCGCACATGGACATGAGCGTCAGCTATGCGCGCTACTGGAACAACAAGTGGACGGGCCTGGATGTGGGCCATCGCGGCTCTGGCACCAGCTTCAAGGCCAAGGACGCCGTCATCCGGGAGAACACAATTACCTCACTGAAGAATGCCGCCGAGCATGGCGCCGACATGGTCGAGTTCGATGTGCAGCTCAGCAAGGATCTGGTGCCCGTTGTCTATCACGACTTCATGATTTATGTCTCGCTCAAGTCCAAGTGTAGCATGCAGGAGCACGACTTCCTGTCCCTGCCCATGCGCGAGCTGACGCTCGAGCAGCTGAAGAAGCTTAAAGTGTACCACACCGCCGAGGGCCTGTCGCGGGAGACGCGCTCCTTCCACAACGACGACATGCTGGAGCACCAGCCCTTCCCTCAGCTCTCCGATGTGCTGGACGCGCTCGATGTCCATGTGGGCTTCAACATTGAGATCAAGTGGTCGCAGCGGCTGCAGGACGGACGCATGGAGGAGGAGTTCGAGCATGTGGTGGACAGGAATCTCTACATTGATTGCATTTTGGATGTGGTCCTGCGCAAGGGCGGCAATCGGCGCATTGTTCTCAGTTGCTTCGATCCCGACATCTGCACGATGCTGCGCTTCAAACAGAATCGGTATCCAGTAATGTTTTTGACTCTCGGCAGGACCACCAAGTACAAACAGTATATGGATCCGCGCGGCAACTCAATGGAGCTGGCCGTCTGGCATGCGGTGGCCATGCAGCTGCTCGGCATTGTCGCCCACACGGAGGACTTGCTGCGTGATCCCAGCCAGGTAATAAAATGACACTCTCTGGGACACAAGAGTGCTGGGAGACTGGGACACAACAGACAATCGTTTCGAAATCATTCACCTGCGGACTTTTAGGTGAATCTCGCCAAGGAGCGCGGCCTGGTGCTCTTCTGCTGGGGCGATGACAACAATTCCCAGGATACCATCAAGCTGCTAAAGGGACTGGGCCTGCATGCCATCATCTATGACAAAATGGATGTTCTCACCACCAAGGAGGTGAAGGTGAGTCCCTGCCTTTCCCTATCCCTCTTGACTGTTACACCCAAATCCCTAATCCCGAATGGTTCTTCTTCGCCCTGCAGCAAAGTGTGTTTCACCTCCAGGCCAAGGACAGTCAGAAGGAAATGCTCAAACTGCAAGCCCTGGAAATGGGCCACGTGTGGCACACCTCCGCCAACGGAAACGAGGAACAACACGCCTAGTTGGAGGGGGGAGTGAAAGGGGAGAGCTTCAGCACCATTATTTTATACTCATCTATAACTAGATATCTATGTATGCCTGGGAGCACCTATACTTTCTCTTGAAACTCTTAGCTTCTGCTCTGTCTGCTCTCTTGCGGCGTCCATTCATAGCATCCACAGCATCCAAGCATCGTTTCATTTAGCCAATTGCATTTGTTTTTATATATAAATAGTTGAATTAATTTTTGAATTTGAAGGCTGCCTCACCAAATATTTCAATCGGTCATTCTACTAATTTGGTTTTACTTGTATTTTGTTTTGCGATTGCCTAAGCCGCGTGCGTGCGCTCTCTGTACTTCAGTTTTTACGTTCCCACAGAAAAGAAACTCTATTAAAGATATTTTAAATACTTCAATATACAAGTGAGGGTGTTTCCATTTATAGTTTTAATATAAATTCAATTAAATCAATGGCATAATTGTAAGATGGAATTCTATTTAAAAGATTTAACATTAAATTTGATGTTTGAAACGATTAGGTACAGACTATGTAAATCTACATGGTATATTTACACGAGTTTTACATAAATGCTACATGCCATGGTTTTTGCAGAGTTTCAGTGTAAGTATGCCAAGAGCTGTCCAATTCCAAGAGATTTAAATTCATGAAAATTGTTTAAATATACTACAAGTAATTTTCAATTGAAATTGCGATAAATAATGTTCAGTTATAAGTTCAAATTATATTTAAAAAACTTTTGTTAATTGCACTTTGGCGCCACATTCGTGCGAAATGTCAGAGCAAAAGAAAACTCGCAATAGGATTGTGCGCAGGAGGGCGCATGCTCCGATTCGCTCCAGAGTGAAATGTAAAAGAAAGCACAACATCAACAACCCTCCAGCAGCAGAAGAGTGTGCTCTACTCTGTGTGCTGTGGGTACAGAGCATGAAAATTCCATCAGTGTGTTGTTTCGGTTTGTTCGGTTTCCTTTTCAGTTAGTAAAATCGCATCGGACGGCACGGCTCTCGGCACGGAACGGAACGCGCGCGCAGTGATCGGCATCGGCATCGGCATACAGAAACACAGAGTGTTGGTGGTGTGTGTCGGAAAACGGTAGTGACCCCCCAATAGAAAGCCCCAGTGCCCGACGAAGTAGGAGCGACACGGGCGGGGAGCGTGTGTGGTGTAGTGTAGTGTGTAGTAGTGTAATTCTCTCACCTAATTGTGTAGCTGTTGTTCCCATTTTTGAACAAAGCCCTGATTTGGTTTCGGAACGAAGTAATATAGCTATAGCAGTAATGCTTTGCCGCAGAGAGCAGCGAGGAGGTCCAGGACCAAGCGAATAGGTGAGCGAGAAGCGGGGGATTTTGATGGGTGATAGTCGGTCGGTAGGTCGGTCTTTCGTTCCTTTTGTATGTCTAACGGTATAGCCATAGTGTGTGTGTGTGTGTGTGTGTGTGTGTGTGTGTATATCAAGTGTCTTTGTCTGTGTCAATTTTAAAGTCAATGCTGGAAAACAATAAGGAAGTTTGTGATACACCAAAAACGGAAAAATCGATGCGTGCGCCTGCCTCGGCGACACACACGTGTAAAGGCGTTTTGCATGGAGTAACTGTGTGTATGTGTGTGTGTGTGCGCCTGTATTTTTGAGGGTGTGTGTGTATATGTCATGTACACGCCAAAGTTAACGGAGACTTCATGCCACAACAAAACAGAGGAGCAGCAGCAGCAGTGTTACAGTACACGCCACTTACAAAACACTCTCCTGACCTACTGTGGACTCCGTGCCACCCACAGACCCCATTACAAACCGCACAACCACCCCACCAAAAAAAAAGCGATCCAAAAGCGGAGCAGTTAAGCCACCACCTACACCACCTCCCCCGCATGATACCCAACAGCCTACCACCTTCTAACTACTTTACTTGCGTGCCTGACACACAGGATGTTTGGGAAAAGGAAATTTGGTATAAAAAAAAAGGAACACCTCATTTTAAATACTTTGTACGCGAGTGCTTCCCTCCAGTGGCAATTTACTACGCTATACTACGATATTCGAGCAGCTTTGAAGTTTTCTATGCTCATTAAAAGTGAATAAATAATGAGGGCCCGTGGCTAAAAATAAGCACAGATAAACCATATATCAAATCGGTCGATTATCAATATGAGCACAGAGAGTTTTGGCAGGCAGATTAATTTTGGGCATTGCAGTGGTGTG